TGTAGCAGCTTTATTCATAATAGCCAAAAGCTGGAACTAGCCCCTATGTCCAGGTGAATGGTTAAACAAACTGTGGTAAATATATAGCATGGAATATGTACTCAAAATATGCAACAATTTGAATGAATCTCAAAAATTGTCTTGTCCAATAATTTGGATGAATCTGAATCTCAAAAAGTCACATGTTGTACAACTGCATTTACATAGCATTCTTGTAATGATAAAATTATAGAGATGGAAAATTGATTGATGACCAGATGTTAGGGATAGTAGGAGCAAGGGAGATGGATGTGACCAGAAGCAGGTAGCAGGAAGGAAATCTTTATGGCGATGGAATAGTTCTTTATCTTGATTGCAGTGGTGGTTACAAGGATACACGGGTAACAAAATGGCACAAAATTATATACAGGCATTGTATCAATGTCAGTTTCTTGGTTCTGCTATTGTACTATAGTGGTATAAAATGTAATCATTACGGGAAATTGGGTGAAGTTGTATAAAATGTAACCATTGGGGGAAACCAGACTTCTCTGTATTATTTCTGAAACTTCCTGTGAATTTATAATTATTTCAAAATAAAGCTAAAACAAAATAAATAGGAAGACTTATTCATGTAGGGGAAAAAAATACAAAGCCATAGTACTAAAACAGCATGGTATTAGAGCAAGAGCAAACAAACCAAAGGAACAGGATACAGTGTTCAGGGTATATATGAGAACTTAATATACAATAAATGTGGCACCACTGATCTATGGGGAAAGGAGAGAAGGACGCTGGAAAAACTGGCACATTATATGGAAAATAAACTGGATCTCTACCTTGTGACATGTAACAGTCATGCATTGCTAAATAATAGGGATATGTTCTGAGAATGCATCCTGTGCACCATGAGAAAGAAGATACCTACCAAGAAGTGCTCCTGCCTAGTGGCTCACTGGGCTCAAATTAAAAATAATAGAGTTCAGTAGACGTTTCTAAACAGAGTTCTCTCACAGAAGCTGTTTTAGGGAAAAGCCAGCACTGAACTGCTTGCTTACACCATGTGACCTACCTTCTGAGCCAGCCCTTATAAATAAGTTCCTGGAATTGCATTTCAACCAATAGAACTGAGGCTTTTCCCATTGAATCAGAGCTGTGCAGCTATACTCCCCCATTGGCATCTTTACTGACCAATCAGAGCAGCTCCATTCTGACCAATCAGGACAGTGCTTTTTGGACCCACCAAGCTGCGAGAACTAGGAGTCCTCATTTGCATAAGGATGGACCAATCAGGGACCAGGCTTGGGGACTTCTCTCTGTATATGACAGCTCCCGCTGGCTGGGAGAATGCACTTTCCCTTTCCACCAAAGACTGAAGACTTCCCACAGCCAAAACTGAAACACCAAAGTAGTCTTGCTGGGGTGGGGCAGAGCAAGTGGGGCAGAGCAGAGCTGGCTCACCCCAGGGCTGGCTCACCCTAGGGCTGCTCCACAGTCATGCTCCACAGCCATGCTGCGTCACTACTGAGATGTTCCACAGCCATGCTATATCACAATCTGCACTGAATACAGTTTCCTTTTTCACTGCGCCCCAAATCGGGGATTCTTGTTGGTGTTGAATTGGTGCCAAAGATCCAATTTTGGGTCATCTTTGTAGGAACATCGCAGAGTGCACAAACCTAGGTGGTATAGTCTACTACACATCTAGGCTATATGGTATGGCCTATTGCTCTATAAGGGAAGAAAAATAATTTCCCTCTATCCTTGGCTGAGACATCCCTGTAATAAATGACAGATTAGCAGGAGAAAAACAAAAGTTTAATAACATATATACCTCCTGTATACACAGAAGAGACCCATGAAAACTGAGTAACTGGCCAAAATGGCTGAAGCCACCACCTTAAGTACCATCTTCAGCAGAAAAGATGTTGAGGGTGGGGAGTCAGTTATGGGAGGTTACCAGGAAAACAATAGTAAGTTTGTCTTATGAACTGATAAAGAATTTCTTGAAATAAGGTCATGCCCCTCTTCCAGCAAGAGAAAAACCCTTACAAATGAAGAAATCTTTACAATGGATAACTTCTACTTGGTTTTCAGAACTTCTGTGTCTGTTTCTTAAATTTACCCAGCCTAAGATAATCCTTATGCCAAACAGACATATTTTGGGGTGATAAATTCTGTTCCCCTACAACTCCTAGGCTACAAACCTATACATGTATTGCACTGAACACTGTAGGCAATTTTAACACGATGGTAAGCATTTATGTAATGCCCTGCGCTATGACTGTATGACAGCTCTGATATCATTAGGCAATAGGAATTTTTCAGCTATATTATAATCTTATGGGACTGCCATTGTATACACATTCTATTGACCAAAAACATCATTTCACAGAGCATTGACTGTAAAAAAACAGATGTATCAACCTATAAATTTAAAGGAAAACTATGAAGTTAGTACATACGACAGCAGAGTAACTTTGTGCAAAGAGCTGGGAAAAGACTTCTTAAACAAAACCCTCAAAACACAAAACATAAAGGCAAAAAAAATTTTTTAATTTAACTTATGTTACAATTGAAGATTTCTGTTCAATGAAGAACATCATGAAAAAAGTTATAAATGACAGAATAGGAACAGACGTACTTGTAAAATTTAAAGAACTAATATCTAGGAAAAACCAGGAACTTGTGCAGATCAACAAGAAAAGGACTGAAACCTCAAACTAAAAATAGGGGAGGAAATAAACAGGCGATTTTACAAAAGAGAAAACCTGGTAAAATGCACATGAAGAAATGCTCCATCTCATTAGATATAGTGAAATGTAATTTAAAATGAGTTTTTACTTTATCTACCAGTCTCGTGGGGATATAAGGATATAGAAAGTCTCGTGAACTGCCCGCAGAAGTATAGACCATTGCAGCTTGTTTTGTAACACAATCTGGCAGTCCTTCAATAAAATATGTATATGAATACCCTATGATCCAGAAATCACATTCCTGGATATAAATCTCAAAGAAAGCACCATAGAGATCAAAAAGGTATGTTTATCATAGTATATTGTCAATAGCGGTAGGAAAATGAAGGCATGTGGGCATCCACAAATAGGAGAGTAGATATAAAATGTAGTAGATATACATTCTGAAATACTCTGCAGCAGTTAGAAACAGTAGATACACAAATAGATCTTTAAAACACAGTAAGGAGAGGAAATTTTTTAATGAGACATACAGCATGATATCTCTATAAATTAAAAATGTGGGCACACAAAACAATATACATTTAATAACATGTTAGAATGGTTGCTGATGTGTTTATGGGCAAGAGAATGGAGTGGAAATTGGAAATAAAAGACAATGAATGAAAAAAAAATAGGAGGTCCACCTTGAACAGCCCAGTTATGATCACTGAATTGAGAAAGATGAACTCGATTCTCTGCACCTGAGATCGAAACAAACTTTAAGAACTCAGACACCTTACACAGAGCACACCACTAAGGCTAAATGACATCCTATCCTTCTCATGACACAGGCACAAAACCAGCTCGTTACTTTTAAAGTTTTCAGTGTTAAGCCTGTTACATAGATAAACCATCCCACTTCCTTCACTTTAAAAAAGAACTTATATCCAAGATAAAAATAAAAGTAAATTGTATAAGATACATGGCTCACTACTGCAAAATTTAAGTTCCCACAGTAATACTTTAACAAGGCCCTTTGATTTATCTAATTATTGAGATCTTTTAAAATTTAGCTACAGATGGCAATAAGAAATAATAAAGTGTATACTCTTGCTGTTAAGCTGGACTCTGGAACACTTTAAATATAGACATTTAAACAAATGAATTTCTCTACCATCATTTCTAATTGAAGTTAACAAGGGATTTACTATTTATTTATAAATTAATTTCTCTACCATGATCTCTAACTGAAGTTAACAAGACATTTACCATCTATTTATATTGTTTCATTTTCCCAATTTAAAATAACTATGACTTGTTATTTTGGATGAAATCAAGGCAGTGTTTGATTTTTCATACTAGAGACATTTCAACACATTATTTTCACTTTTAAACTGCCCTCCACTCCAACCTGTCATAAGTTGCTTATAAAGCAAGAAAATCTGTGTGTAACATTTCCAAAACTCAATTTCTCACACAACAGGTGATTCTTGCCATCTTGTCAAAGTCCTATGCAATAAACATCTGAAAGAGTCATAGCTTGTCTTTCTTAGCTCCTGGCAAATGTTACTGTGAAAATAAGCTGTAGTTCTCACTGAATCCTAAAATCAACAGCATCAACAATACCAATGCAGTCTGCGATGCAACTGTAGCTGCCATTATTTCAAACTATAAGAATCAGCAAATTCTCCCTAGCACCTTAGAAAAAGACATAGCAAGTGAATCAAAAGGTAAAACGCCAAGTTTTGAATAAATGGCAGGGTAGCGCTGACTCCAACCATATCGTTTCAGAACGCTGGGTTCCATTAGTAAGCAGAGGGAGTAGCAGGTAATCTCTTAGAGCAAGTTCTAGAGCAAAGTGATAAGAATGAGCAGATGACATTCAAAGATGAAACTAACAGACGTCTCAATACCTTAGGCAAGCGAAGTACCAACAGGTAAAAAGAGACCGTGCGTACCCCAAAAGCAAGTACATTACCCGAAAACAGTCAATAAGTACCCACCCATCATCGCAACCACATCACCCCGTTTAGATTGCCACTGAGAGCAGAGCGGTCCTATCTCAAGACCAAAGCAAGTGTCACCAGAAGTAAATGTCACTTACCAGGCCAAGGAGCCCCAAAGACCCCTGTCAGGACCCACGCTCCGAGCAAAGGCGCCTAGCTGAGGGCCTGAACCTGGCAGGCGCATCACAGAGCAGAGGTTCCAGCAGCAGAGCTCTGACAGCTGGCACCGCCAACGGAGGGAGGGGGCTGTAACCCTTGACCCCCGGCCCCGCTGACCTCCACGTCGCCCGCACGTTCGCGTCAAAGATGCCCCTGGGGAAGCTCGAAAGCCCCCTACCTGTCACAGCTTCATCTCGTGCCGTGATGTTGTCTGTCGGACCATGAGCGGACGCACCAGCAAGGGAGCACAAGACAAGGACGTATCTAAGAAGAATGTGGGGTGGGAAAATCTGGGTGGGAAAACCTTTGGGACCACAACCCCAGCCCGGCTGCCGTCTCTCCACCGCGGCTGCAGGATGCCGCTACTGCCGCCGCCGCCGCCGCCGTTGCAGTAAATCAGCTGACACCAGCCTCAACTGCCGTGACTTTCGCTGCAACTGTCGCAAAAAATGAAGGGGAGAGAAATGCTCAACGTTTCCATACACGCCTGGCCTAGGCCGGCACCATGGAGATGGAACGAAGGTGGTAAACTGTGGGCAAGGAGTGCACGGCTGCCATTTTGGTTATGGGAAGTGTGGTCTAGGCTCTCTTCTCGCCTCGAATGCCCAGGCTGGGAGGACCAAGATGGAAGAAAGCATGAAGTGGCAAGTCTAGGTGTTTGTTCCTTGCGGCCAGGGTGTTGCAAGGTTATTCTTCTGCCCGGTGACTCAGTCAAGCGCATGGAAAGTGTTAGCTCTAGAATTGGTTACTGTTTCCCTGTGACCTCCAAATTTAGCTGTTGCCCACCACACAGAGGGTCAGAGGAAGAGCTCTGCTACTCGACTAGGGGAAGTTTGACCTTGTGCAACATTCCTGCAGAGGGAGAATGAATATACAGCCTACGTGTGGGCGGCAAAGAGTGGTGGAGCGTGAGCTCTGCATTCACAGAGGCGTGTATTCTGTCCTGGTTTATCCACTGCACGTTGTTCGTGTCATCTGGGACATGTAGCTTCTTTTCATTTTCAGTTTTCCCGTATACAAAATAGGCACAATAACTTCAGGGATGTCTAGGAGATGAAACGAATTCAACAAATGTTAATTACTTATTATGTTTGCCTATCTTCCTCCGAAATATGTGTTGAATGGATGAATGGATGGTGGCCAAGGGAAAACTGGTGCCATTCTGGTAGCCAATGATCAGTTCTGTTTTAAAAAGATAGAAAAGATTTCCATTCTATGGCTTTGTTTTTCCTTTATAATCTCACTAATGGATGCACAGGACAAGTAAGACGTCTATAGTAGTCCCCAAAGGTACTGTGTATTTGAATTACCTGGGGAGCTTGTCACAGTGATGTTTCTGATTCAAGTAGGGCTGGAGTGGGGTTTAAGAGTCTCCATTTCTAACAAGTTTCCAGGCAATGCCGATTAATGCTGGTCCTTGGACCACACCTCGAGTAGCAAAATATTATTGGACAGGCCTGAAGCAAGGGATTAGGGCATTAGAACAGGGCAAAAGCAACTACTTCAGACAGGATAATGTCCTTGCCAATTTGCCAAAAGAGAGGTAAGTGTTGGTTTGGGCAAAAGGCTTCAATTTATTATTCAACAATTATTGAAAGGCAACATTTCTTATTCCTGCAAATGGTAAACTTTTCACTTTCCTTCTCCCCAGCTTCAAAGTCCTCCTCAGCAACACATCACACAGCCATCAGGGTTCTGGGTGGCATACCCCCTTTTCTTTCACTAGGCCATTTAGCATCCTTTAGACTTTCAGGTGTTTCTGTTCATTTGTAGAGACCAGCTCTGCTTGCCATCATAATGAGAAAAACTAAATAATATTGACCACTGAAGTCAATAGAACACTTGAAAATCAATAATTCTGAAATTGTCTTATACTGCAAATTGAAATTCTATGATTTCTTTTTACTTTTAAAAAACTACCTTGCAATCACATGAGTTGGAGTTGGAAGGAGGAGCAGAGAAATTATGTTAAATAGAAGAAATTAATTCCTTGGCTTGCTGGGTTCAATATACCCAGTCCATGTGGTGTGATGATGAATACATTTAAGATGTTGAGTGCATAATCCCCTTTACAATTTATAAGAAATTTTTGGAGGTATAGGAACACAGAGTAGTTACCACAAGAGAATCTTATGTTACATTAAAGCTTTTTTGGCTTGTAAATGAAATCTATGTTTTTTTTCCAGATAAAGCTGATTCTTGTATTGAGCAGATATTATTAATTGAACATTTACTATTCTTCAAATACCTTTCTAGGAATACAAAGGTTAACAGGAATATTAAGGAGAAGCTTTCAGACTATTAACAATCTGGGCACTCTCTACCAAGTTTACAAAATTTATTTCCAGGGTCTATATATGTGTGTGTAATCTGAGCCACAGGACTAAAATAAATATTCGAATATTAGTGAATAAAATGCTTCTGGTTCAGAAAATTTAAACATTTTTATACATATATTTTTTTATATGTATAGCCTTCCAGAAAAATTAAATTTATAAGATAATCAGTAAAATGATCATCTGGTTCAGAAAATTTAAACATTTTTATACATATATATTTTTTTACATGTATAGCCTTCCAGAAAAATTAAATTTATCAGATAATCAGTAAAATGATCATTTTCAGTAAGATGATCCTGAGTATATTTATTTGAATAAATTATTTATTCCTCTCCTCTGGAAGAATTATACAAAAATCTTAGAAGATTTAAATGATAAATTCATTTCAACATATATTTATTGAACCTTAACTGAAAGTGAAGCTGAGAAAGTGAGGATTTGGCATGTTTAGCTTCTGTAGAGGAAGGCACGCTCTGCTTCCCACCAAGACTTACAAAATAGGGAATTCCCTAAACATTGGAAAGTCTGTTGGATGTTGGGCACCTTAAAAGAATGACAACTGTCTACCAAGATTTATGGTTATAATACAGTGCAGTATGAAAAATATACAACATAAGAAATAATGGAGAAAATGGATGAATTACTTCTGGCTTGGGGTAAGGAAGGCTATTGCATTTGATTTTAGAAAAATGGGTAGGATTTGGAATAAGAAGAATTGGGAAAGGAAAATAAATTTGTTGCTAGCATTAAAATGTGAAAACATGGGTATGTACAATAAGCAGAAAGCTGAATTGGGGGGGACGTTCAGGGGACATGACGTAGATATAATGGGAGATTATAGTATTGGGACTAAGCTATTTCTGCTGCGCACTGAGACTCCTTCAACAGGCAGTCTTTGCCCTGGGGCTCCCTTTTAGTTTGACACGGTCTTTATCAGATTGGGTCTAGATCTAGTAATGGAAGGTATCCTGGGAAAAACTGAATAAGGTCAGATAACAAGAGGATGTCCTTATAAGCTTCAATGTCCTTATAAGCTTTTTGGACTTTATTCCAAATGCAATGAAAAGCCATTGAAGACTCTCAACCAATACACAGAGTGGTGCTTTTCCTAACAGCATTGTGTTTGTTTTTATTGCTATATAACAAATTACCACACATTCAGTGGCTTAAAACAACATGCATTTATTGCCTCAGTTTCCAGGGGACAGGAGCTCAGGCCCAGCCTAACCGGGTTGTGTGCTCGTGCTCACATGGGCTATCGCTGAAGTGTCAGCCAGATGCGTTCTCCTCTGGGGGCTTGACTGGGGAAGCCTCTGACTCCAAACTCATTCAGGCTCATTCATTTTCTGTGGCTGTACGACTATGTATGGGCTTGGGCCCCAGGTCCTACAGGGCCACCCACGGCTTTTTGCTACTTGGGCTTTACCAAAGGTCCTCTCACAACATGGCAGCTTACTTCTTCAAAGCCAGCAAAGAATCGCTGCAGTGAGCACAAGAAAGCTGGAATCATGTAGCTATAGATATAGACAATATAGATAAAGCTATAGATAGTAAATTTACCAAGGGAATGACATCCTGTCACCTTTGCCATATTCTCTTGGTTTGAAGCGGTCACAGGTTTCACCTGCACTCAAGGAGAGAGGATTATATAGAGTGTGACTCATTGGGTGGTCACCATAGGGTGTGTCAGCCACAGATATTAATCTGGCAGAAATGCATCATATAAATTAGGTGAGAAAGACAGGCAAGGAGACAAGTTATCATCGTCGTTTTAACTAAAAATGTATAGTTGTTACCCGAATAGACTCATAAATGGAACCCATGGGGTAAGGGTCAGGAATTTCAATATGCTACATTTTAATGCTATAGGCATTAAAGAAAGTTAAGTATTATTCTGTCTTTAGAATTTAGTAGCAATTACCCTACAACACACTAATACTTCCTAAACTTCCTAAATTCTAAGTTAAGTCTCCAAAGACAAGGAGAATTGTCTCTCCATTTTACAAACTTCAAAAAAGGGAGATTATCACGCTGCCCAGTGGTCTAACGGTAACCTCGCTGTTGACACCATTTTTGGATTGTTTCATGCGTGCTGTTATTTTTTTCCTCACCTGAATTGTAAATCTGTGGTTTGGTGTTTCCTCAAAGTGCCCAGTACTTTGCTAATTCTGTCCATTCCTTAGTGGACTCATTCCCCTAAAAGTCATGTCATGGTTGGGGGCTTCACATTAGTACTGAGAGTCCTCACAGTTCATCATGTTGCAAAAGAATAGTTTAATAAGTGTTCTTTGCATGGTTTTGTATGATTAAAACTACTTGAGAAAGTCTTTGGACTTTCTCACATGACATGAATGTCAGCTGTTGAAAACTTCTCTTTTTTTCCTATCTCATGACTTCCTCTGAATCAAACCATTTCTTTCTAAGTAACAGGATATCTTTTTCTAGAAATACCTCTATTTGCTCCATACTCATGCCTTCTAAAAAATAATGATAAGATTGGAGGTCCCCAAGCTCCTCACAAGTAAGGGATCGGGGGCCCCTCACCAAGCGACTAAGATCAGCAAGGGGAAATTAGGATAGTAAAGGAAGTGATGAGTGCTGCTTGTAGCCCTGTCGCCAGCTGCAGCAACAGGGGCTGTAGTTTGTTCCACTAACCTCCCTCTTCTGTTTCCTATCATGATGGTAGGACCACCAGAGCCTTGGAAGAGTAGCTCCCCAAACCTGTGTGAAAGAAGAGGATCCATGTGCTACAAATAGTGGACTGTGGAAAACACAAAGGTGCACTACCTAGATTCCCCTACCAGAAAAAAAAAAAACCCTTCCCAGCTCCATGGAGAGTGGTTTGCTCACTATCCCTGCTATTAGCTTCTTCAGGGTCACTTCAGCTTTCCAGCTGAGGTTACCTCTTCTTACTGTAGCCCGAGGCACATGCCTGAGCAGGGAGAAGTTAGTTAGGGGCACACTTGGGGAGTGCCCCAGTCGATGACTACCAAGGGGTACCCTTCTTACTGTACCATCTTCTTCTCCCTTTCCTCTTTTTCCCTTCTTTTTTCTTTCTTCCTCCTATTCTGTCCACTTGAATTCTTTCAAAAAAAAAAAATTCCAAAAAAGAAATAAAGATTAAGTAGTTTTAATAAAAGATGAGAGACAGAAGTATCAACCAATGCAATGTATCTACCTTATTTTGATGTTGATTCAAATAAGTTATAAAACAAATTAGTAGAAACATGAGATTTTAACATTGTGGATATTGGTAATATGAAGGAAGCATTGTTAACATTTTAGATGCAACAATAGTATTCTGGTTATATTTTTTAAAAGGATCCCTATCTCCTAGACAGGCCAGGTGCAATATTTACAGATGAAACTATACGATGCTTGGCATCTGCTCCACAGTAATCTGGGATGAGGGAGCCAGTGGCTGTGAGTACTTTAACTTTACCTCTCTTTTCATGAAATAGTACTGTACTTTCTCTTACTTGTCCTGAATTTAATTCTCCAAGGCAGAAAGCATCATTGATTCAACATCCAGGGTTGGGTAATGTGCTAACGCAGATCGCTGGTTCTGTGGTCAAGTTGCTCATGGTCTGGTGGGGAGACACATACATCCTCTGTGAGCACAACACAGAGTGAGAAGTGATGTGCATTGGTATTTTTATGACCTGCAGTGGGTCTGATCCTCCTCCTTTCTTTTTGATT